CTGGGCATCATTAGTGTGAACAGGGCACATAATAAACCATTGTCATTGTTTTCTGAGTGTTGAGTTTGTATTGATCAATGTGAAGCCCTAAAGATGAAATAAAAAATGTACAGCCAATGTGCTTGGTGATGGGCTTTATCCGTGGGATGAGTCTGTTATACAGGAAATAACACAAAAGTAGGCAGGAAAAGGGATTCTATAGGTAATAACAAACAATTAGAGTATCCACTAGTTGGAGGGTACATAATACAATTAATCTACCACCTTGCTCAAAAGGGAACTCCAGTTTTATTTTGAAATAATAAATAAATGCATGTTGGGAAAAAAAAATCCCCAGCTTTGCAGCAATACTCACCTCCTCTCTGGCACTGTCCCCCACAGATGAACCAATCTGAGGTCCAGCACCAGTCGTCTTCCAAGTGGCATTACCACCAGCTACATTCAGGCCCAGGCGTTCATGGACACACACCCCTGGGAGTGACGCACCCCATCAGTCTGGGCTGACAGTATAATACAGCAGAGAGCAGCACTAGCATCATATCACTCCGCACTACAGTACTTAAAGGGGTTCTAAACCCTCCAGTTTTTTTTGCTTATATCTACTGCTAGCAAGCAGTAGATATAGGCAAGAAGTGTAAAAAAACCAAAAGCGCTTGAAATCATTTTAAACTTACCTCGTTATCGCTGCTCGCTCCCACGCCGCAAATCAGGAACTGCTCGTACGGCCGCAAAGGATCTTGGGGCGGGCGCATGCGCAGTTCCGATTCTCGGTCGGGAGACGAGCAGAGACGCAAGGTAAGTCTATGGATGCGTGCACCCGCATGCAGACACCGCTGGATCGGAGGGACAGAGCAGTCAGCGCTGGATCGGAGTGACGTCGCACCGCTGGAGGGACACATGAAAACATGGGGAAAGAAGAGGAAGACCAGAATAAGAGACATCATTTAAGGTAAATGCTAACATTTACATGGGGGGGAGGGAAAAATGTTTTTGCCTTTAATATCATTTAAAGCCTGCTCACCGCTGTCAAAGGAAGGTGAAGAGAACTTTGGGATGTCACCTTTCAGAAGCCTTTTTGATATAAGGTATTTATATGACTATTTTAAAAAGAAAAAATATGAGTTGGGTGGTGTGGGGAAGTGTTTTTTGTTTTTTAAAATGGAGATCTACTTTAATAGTTAGTGAGATAAGAAATAAGGCACTTAGGAAAATCATTGTTTTTAATAATAAGACAACTATTTCACTTTCATTGTTAGGAGGAGCAGTATAGCAAGATTGTATAGCACTGCAAAGGAGAAACCAAAGCCTCTACATGAAAACCAGGTTTTTAAAACCTTATAACACATTGACAACAATACTACAAGCCAATCGTGACTGATTAGTATCTCTAAAAAACACTATAGTTACTTAACATTCCTTTTGAGATCTTTGGGAGACAAAGGAAGGCATGATGCAGTTTTCCCACAATTGATAGCTATGATATGCTGAGTAGTTGAAGGAGTGACTACATATTACTCCTTCTTTGAATTCCACTACATGTGGAAGAACATAAACACAACTTTTTTCAAAACACTTTAGTTTTCTTTCTGTAAAAATGACAGCTGGGAATTGCCTGTAAATGCTGCCAGTGAACTGTGGGGCAGGGGGAGGAGTAGGCCCCTTTCACGTGGGCGGTCCGATCAGGTCTGCCTGTCAGTTTTTCAGGCGGACCCAATCGAATGCCCAATGTAAGTCTACGGGCAGCCGGATGTCTGTTTACATCTGGTTTCCCCCGACTCCGGCTAGGAAAATGGAACAGTGTGGCATTTCACCGTACCGGATCGTGCCAAATCTGGTGGAATTTGCTGTAAACAGACACATGTCGGTTTACATCTAATTCCCTTTAGACCAAAATGAGGTCCGGTCATTTTAGTTTGCAATGGTGGAAAAAAAGCTTTCTTTGACGAAATAGTATGCAGAATACCTAAATAGCTGGTAAAACATAATCTTGTACTCCCTTGCTTATTGCATTTTGTAGGTTTTATACATACAGTAAACTCCCCGTTATCTGGCATCCACTGGGATTGCTAGATTCTGGATAAATGTAGTTTCTGGTTGCTTGAGAGTTACTATTAAAAATAGGTCTAACTAATGCCATACCCCATATACCATATCATAAAATAAACTCTGTATTAACTTTATATTACTATTGAAATTAAGTAATCAAAAGCAAATTAAGAAAAATAGACACACTTAAGATAAATAGACACACGATCGTTTCCAGGATACATGCCACAGATCAGCAGAACAGTGAGTACACACTGGTTAGATGAGTATGTTTTATCTGAAATATGAACACAAACACCGCTGAATGGGATAGAAAGGGCTATTAAAAGCCTCGACTACACAGATTTTGAACCTAATCACGTTAATATAGGTATATAGGTAGATATGGTCTGTGAGACCGCCCGGACATATCGGGCACTATATTTAGGAATAGAGGGAGAGCACTATAAACATGAAAAATTCACTACATCTGAAAATAAAAAATGAAACACAGATTTTGATATAAATGATGATCATTTTCTAGCACTGTGAAGTTGCACTGGATTCCCTGTGCGTCTCTGGTTCCGCCGGGTGATACTCTGTTTCAGAGTAGACGAAAGTAACCCCATCACCCTGGAGGGGGATGAAAATCCTCTCCAGGATCTTGCAGTCCCGGGTTGAAATAGTCGAATAGAAAGGTAATACAATTCAATTATATATATATGTATGGTAAATTACTACTTTCTGATACATCTAGACCTATGAATTTGTTTTCTGTAAAATAGTATTACCAAATACAAACAATGATGAATTATCTCTGTATATATATTAGACAAGTTAATTAATAATGAATCTAAACGATCTAATTGATATACTAAAAATGAATTAATCCTGATGGATAAACAATCAATGTGAATAAGATTCCCCATGCATGAATATGAATATCAAGCTATCAATGACAAATGAAAAAGATAAAAATTGATATTTCATTGACAAATGAAAAATTATTAAATTATGTACATAATTAGAATCTGGAAATGAAATGAATGGAAGTTTACTGATATACTGTATGTTGATTCTATCTTGTGGTTCAATATTAATCTATATGGTATTATATAATATTTTTCTTTTGAAAAAACAGATTATTGCTGAAAGTCGGTATATACAAACATACAGAGTGAATATATCCCCCTGAGGAAGCCTATCTGGGCGTAACGCGTAGGGGACTCATCAATTAGTAATATACCTGTATTAGAAAGGATCAATTATGTGTATATCCTTATCCACATGAATGTATTGAGAATGTTTGAAATACGGTTTGCGAATATACCAATCAGCAATAGTTATAGAATTAGATACATGTATCTTTGAATTACACATGAATATCACCACAAGAGAAGTTGTAAATAATATTTTATTGAACTGCATGAATCTTTTAAACCAATAAGAATTTAAAATAAATATTTTTCATATTATATACATCTGAGTCCTTTCTAAACACACTCCATCACAATAGAAATATTGTAAACAATTGCTAAACTCATTAATTAGGAGGTGTGGACTCAGGTCGCCTAGGGTGGGGTCTGGGAAGTACCATTACTGGATTGACACTGGTTAGATGAGAGTTCTGGTTAGTTGAATAGCGGATAACAGAATTTACTGTATATAGCATATTTCTAAAGCAGCGAATTTGACATTCACCAAACTGCAGGTGGTCAATGTGTTTGAATACACAGAAATGATTCACCACCAGTAAGGCTGGATTCACACCTGTGCATATTTCTACCTGATTTATTTCCTTTGAAATCAATGGAAGTGCATCAAAGCGCTTGTCCACATGCATCAAAATGCACTTTGTATTGGCGTATGCCCTGAGCATGCTTTCAACTAGCCGGCAACAAAAGCAAGCTAATCTGTTTGACTACTCAGGCTAACAGAGGTTTTAGTTACATATATCTGCAAATATATTGGGAAGCCACATTGCCATGCCTGCCATATTTGCTTTTCTGTATAGGATGTCAACACAAGTGAAAACGCAGAGGGCAATACTGATTTCATAATGTCAGCTCTGCACTCTGCAGCATTGAAGTCTAGCCACTGCCGTTGAAGGGAGTTGAAGAAGAGGATGTCACATTTCAGAAGCCTGCTGGATATAAGGTATTTAAAAAAAATAATGGTTGCAGGGGGGCATTGTATTTGTGTGATGATGCAAGCCATTGTACGTTTAAGTCTGTAATAAAGTTTTAACATGCATGCATGTTAATGTGAAGATTGCTTGTTAGCGCACATTTGATAACGCAGCGCTAATGAGCGATAAGTCACCATGGTTTGAATGAGCCCTCAACATTAATGTCACATTTACTGCTTTATAATTATGTCAATTAAACGTGTTATGTATATTTGTGGGTACCTCCTAAACACACACATACATGTATGTTATGAAAGCATGAGCACTTGCATCCATTTCACTAATTGGGTGCCGGAGGCTGTGTATGACGTCATGGCTGGATGTGAATAAGCACTGGCAGATCCTGATGCAGGATTATTCCATGTGATGCTCCGGAGGATGCTGCTGCTGCTGCCTGCACCATTCCTTCCTGCTTGTTTGTCATTTTTTTAGTCCTCTCCCCTGATTCACTAAGCAGATAGCTGTGGCTGCAGATTAAACTCTCTTGTTCCCTCCCCCTGCTTTTTTTGCCTTCCTCTCACTCACCCACCCATCTCACCCCCTGAGACCTCGATGTATTTGACGTCATGTGTGCTCCTTTCAGTTGCCATAGCGACTCCCTTCCCCAAACCCCTCTGCCTGTCTCCTCTCGTAGCTTCCACAATGGTACAGCCAGCATCACGCTGCACAATGCTTTCCAGGCAGTGAAAGAAGGTGATTCAGCAAGCCTGTGCATGCCAGTCCATCACCATCCCTTCCAATTTTTTGTTTTCTTTCCTCTTTTTTGCCTCTGAATGCGGCGTTTTTTTTAAAAACCATCCCAATGTACTGCCATTAATTTTAGCCTCTATTCTCATTCCCATTTGGGGGAACCTTGTAGTCACCTGGCTGTCACCAGTTTCTTGTCCCATCCCCTTCCCCCCTGCACTTGGCGTCTGGAATGTGGGCTAGGATAGCCACATAGAAGCACAGCGTTTGGAGGCGCACCTCTGGATCTAGACTCTGGTATTGCAGATACGGAATGGTGAGTAGACCCTATTGATGTCGCTGCTGTCACGGATGCTGGACGGTAGGCTCGATTCACAAAGCTTTATCACAAGAATAGGTATCTTTATATTAGCCATGTGACTGGTATTCTCAAATCTCATTGGACTCTAATAAAAATAAAATAGCTGTCACTTTTTGGAAAATAAGTATCCTTTTCCTGGTGTGCCTGTGAATTGAGCCTGGTGGCTGCTGGGTGGGGTGATGGGTGCTAAGAATGTGCTGCCTTATTGATGTCATGTATAAAGCAACTAACAAAATATATAAAAGACAAGCTTTCGAGAGTGAACCTCTCTTCTTCAGGTCAGAAGATATATACATACACATCAAAGAGATTGCAGCACTGAAATTAAATGTTGAAATGTATTTCTGTCAAATATATATTTGATATATGTCATTTAATGCTGAATTCTTCTCCATAAGCATCATGGGTATATATAATATTTCTTTCCATGCCATTATCTGCATGAAATGAGACAGCTTTTTTTATTTGCCATATTTCTTTGCAGCATTGCTTCAGCATCCTAAGCAGTTTTTTTCCTTTAATGTTTGGAGGTTTCAGTGATTGAGCCCTTCCTTTAGTCTTTAATACTCCTAAGATGTTTCCTGACGTGACAAACAAGGCCAGAGTCATCCTACACTCTAGCCGAATCCTGACACTGCTGAGAATTGCAGCTAAGCTGCCACTCTAGCAGATTTGTATTTGTGCTGGTAGACGTTGTGCGCCATACTGCAGGCCTCTCTCCGGCATAGTCTGGGTTAATTAGGAGACTGTGGTGGCTGCAGCATTGTGACAGGTTGTTTCTCCTTAGCTCTGTGCCAAGAGTGCATCATTTATATAGCCACTCGTTTTATCACCGGGGCTTCCACAGCTCACAGCCACATGCAAGGTGCTGACCTTCATAAACTGTTCAGCTAATTCATTTTTTGTTTGGTGAAGTCAATGTAGCTGCTTTCGTGCCTTTTGTTGTCTTTTATTTTGCAGCCTTGTTATAAATTCACCTTGTCAGACTTTCACCGGAATGGTTGTTATATTAAAAAAACGTCCTGTTATTTGCATATACATTATTTGTGTGTAAGGATAAATAAAAAAATAATGTTATGATTATCACAACACCATTCTTTTTGTTGTAAAAACACAAAAAGGATTGTGTGGGCAAACATGCAATGCTGTAAAAACGCTTGCTTATGGATTTATTTACGTCACTCAATGATATGCATAAGGCCGCAGAGGTCAATAGCAGTGCCACATAGATTATCATAGGGAGCTTTAGGTTTATTTATTACAGGTATTTCTACAGTGCTGACAATTTACTTATTTACAATTTACTCTTCAATAACATGCTTATTGTCAGGTTTATCCTTTAATAACATTGCTCTGCAGGGCTAATAAACTCTTTTTTTTTTTGTCCTTGCTGAAAGAGAGGTATTCATTATGCTAATGGTAGACAAATGAGTTGGTATTCGTTATGCTGTTTTATGTAGGCAGTCTAGTTTTGAGACAAACCTTCACTGCTACCCTTCCCCCATTAGAATGCTAATCTATAGAGCCCCCAGCAGAAGTGACAGCTGCCAAATTGTAATAGTGATGGTGTTATTGTGCTTTTACTGGTACAGGGGCTCTGAGCAGATTTTGGAAAATGACACAAACACACGCAATATATATATTTATTCAATAAAACACTTGCAGTATTTCTTTTGTTCTGCCATCTGATAGACAGGTATGACATATAGGGCCTGATTCATCAAGCTGCAATATCACTTAACATATGCTAAATATGGCATACTGATATATTCTCAAATGATACTAATCCGAGAATAAAAAGTTTTTAATTGCAATATCAGTGCATGTCTTTTTTCCTTTGAACCAATAAAACTTGATGTACAAATATTTTTCTACTAGGTATTGCTCTCTTTCACTCTATGTAATTAATATCTATCTATCTATCTATCTATCTATCTATCTATCTATCTATCTATCTATCTATCTATCTATCGATCTATCTATCTATCTATATGTATACATATAGATAGATAGATCGATAGATCGATAGATCGATAGATCGATAGATAGATAGATATAGATATATACTGTATATACACACACACATATATGCACATAGATAGATTAGGTTCTAGAACTACGTGCTTGCACACAGTCCATTGCACAGTACCATCAACACCCTAGGTTCCTTACATCCTGGGATGCTATAACAAGCATGTTTCATTTTTATTGGACTATTACTATGACAGGCAGCCTTGCTAAGCAAAAGAAATGTTCAGGAGGGGAATGGCCATTGCTTGTAGCTACCAGGAAGGGTTGAACGATGCAACCCAGGATGTGAAGTTCCCTGGTGTACTGAAGACCTCAAGACGTAAAAGTAGAGGCAGGTACTGCTCAGTGCTTGCATTGTAGTTCTATTTACTGTTCAATACTATCTTGGCACCAACAGGTATACTTTGAAGGGGAACTGAAGTTTAAAAAAAATGCTAGGAGGTAAAGGTTTCCCCCCTTTCTCCTAGCAATTTTTTTTTTATTGTGTACACTGCCTGTGGTGCATGTAAAGTACAGTGTCCAGTCTTGGTAATGTAGAAGCTGGGTTCAGGAACAATGTAAATGCAGCACGCATTCATATGTGTTACATCATAAGTGACCATCTAATGGATGAATAAAGAAAACACCAGTCTGCAAAAAGCAATGTAGAATATAGAAGTGGTGGTGACAGACTGGCGAGGGAGAGCATGGAGCTACCAGCGCAGGAGGATGGCGAACTAAGAGGTAAGTCTGCCATAATGTACAAGTATGTTGTTCAAACTTCTGCTCCCCATTCTTTTCTTCTTTCTCTAAGGCTAGTTGGGAGAGAGAAACAAATTCTCCTAATGGTATATTATTAAGTTGTCGAAGGAAACTGGAAGGAGAGAGGGAGAAGATGCATACTCCATGCAGACATCATCCCTCGTGGGAACTAGGCCTGGGACTCAGAGCTTCAAGGTCATAGTTTTTCATGTTAATCACCTGATTTTCTAACAAGCAGGGATGTATACATATCCAATCACGTGCAGGGGAAGAAAACAAATCTTTTCTAGGCTATAGTTGGCTTAGTAATTCAAGCCCTAAGTGGTTGTGTTCAAACTGTTGCTTACTGTGCTTTCCATTATGGTTTTTGCTTTCCTCTGTAATATGCTCAGATGTTAAAGTGGAATTCCAGCCAAATATTTAGCTAGTTTTGTATAGGAAGGGGAACTATTAGAACCTCTGTCGTATTTTTACTGATGTATGTGCCTCCATTGCAGAGAGATTTTCCCTCACTTCTTGTCCCAGAGGTGCAAGAGGAACTGAGAATGAATCTCCCAAATGTAGGGAGAAACCCTACCTTTGACCATGTTGCGAGATTTTCTATCTACTTCTGTTCCAACTGAAAAAAATAAATTGTTTCCCCTTATTTAGTAAGAGTGTAGCTTCTAAATGGGTACACATGTAACAATATACACCTGGCAAAGGAGCCAACCCATCCACACTAGTGGACTCGTATTTCACACTCTAGTCAACATTAGGACTAGGTTCTTAATACTAGAGAAATGTTTTTGCTGAAGCGCTCTTTCAGAAAAGGGATATGACTTCTGCAAGAAGCAGATTTCCCTTCTTTTTGAGAGTTTGTGAGACAGGACATACAACAGTTCAGAGCGAGTATCAAGAAAAATGGGGACCACTATCAGAGAGGTCCTGCATTTTCTAATAAAGAAACTCGTTTTATGCTGCCATGAATTGGGTGGTTTTGGGGTAGAGGTGACAAAAGATTCTTTGGCTATTTAAAGAATATATTTACCCAATACATTTTTAATAAAATGATAATAATGGAAGGAATAAGGAAACATAGTTGCCATTGTTTTATGCAATTTCAAGGTTTTCAATTGGATATTCTATTTTTTTGTTTGTACTTTTAGACATTTTAAAGATGTTTATGTTTCGTGAGGTTTGTACATTTTGTTATGCAGGTGTGAAATTTTGTTTTTGTGCTATTCTAATGAAAGCTTGTGCTATACATTTCTATCTAGAGATAACCAGCTCTTATTTAGCGTAGCTAACTTTTGCAGTAAACATTCTCAGTTGTAAGAGTGATTCCAAAGCATTGGACTGGACAAACCCTGCAATGTGAAGAAGTCCTCTGGCAACTAGAATGCTCTGCACACAAACTCATGCTTTCAGACCTGCTTCTCACATGGCCTCCTCAGCACTGTATGTCATGTGACTTATGGTCACAGCTTCCTGTCACATGGACATAGAGCTCAGGGGAATTCAGGTCCTTCTTCCCTGCAGTGTTCACTGGTTGCCTGTCTGGAAAATAGTTCTGCAAGGGTGATCTTTGCAATAAAACATTACTGCTTGAGGGTCATTAGGGGGATTCAAACATAGCTCATGTGCGGGTTATTTTATGTATGACTTCAATGGGAGGGTGGGGTCTGTATATGTATATCAAAGATGCATTGTTGCTGGTTCCTAACTTTTTCAGGCTGGCTCCTAAATGTGGGGAAGATTTGTCCAGGTCTGCTGTAGGTAATTAGACGTCTTCATTATTTGGATGCCATTGCTGACCTGCAGTAAGCATATGCATATCGAGTGCTGAATATTGTTTGGGTCAGAAACCCACTACTACCTTCTATCTATCTTCAATCTACCAAGCTGTAAAGGAATGTAATTTCCAGCTATTTATCAGGTATTTTCATCACTCATTGGTTTTGCCTAAAATAACCATTGGTATGATAAATGACTATCTTTATATTAAGCTTATAGAGTTGTGAGCTGTAAACTATTGATTACAATGACAGCTCCACAGAACATATGTTCAGATATAAGCCAGCAAGCATCTATACTTTTACTTTAACAGATTCCCTATAAGTTGAGTTGAGTCTGTAAGGCCCCTTTTACACAAGCTGATCAGGAAGAATCCATGCATCGATCTCCTCCCGATCACACTAGTA